AAACATGAACACAACCCCGAAGAATCTCGCCTGCAGTACCAGTAGGATGTAACGGCACTCAAGTCAAAGACATAAAGCGATATTCTAACAGTGATGCATAAAGCTCCCATTAACAGTGGCGCCACCAGTGGCCGAGAGGGTAAGATGACTTAATAGTGAAGTTCAATCTGTGTTCGATTCCAGGCGAAGGGGCTGGCTGCATAATTCGATTTCATGGTTTCTCTTATATCTAATATGAATGCGAGCTAGTTTCCCCTAGAAATTTATCCACGAAGGCATCACTCCTTTTAGGCAGGCAGTCCTTGTGTGCTGTGTCATATTCAAAGAAACTTTATGATTTTATGTTAATTAACCGGATTATGATTTGAACCTTTTTTTAACTTCTTTCCCTAACAGAATGCAAATTAGCTGTTGTGTCAGCCTAGGGTTTGAATCTTTTAGAGGTAGAGCTTTTGGCAGCCTCGCATTGCGGTTATGTCAGTTATGCTATGTTACTATTGCCAGTTGTGCCAAAATTTTATTCTGGCTTTAGCATCGTGCTAGTTGACGCATAAAATGCTCGCCTTTAATTGTCTTGAGGTAGCTTAAGTAGTCTATTCTGTGTATCAGTATATCAGACTACGTTACTTAAATTTAAAATTAGCGTTATCTTATGTAACTATAAATACCGCAAGTATCGGAGGTTCATCTGTAGCCCAAATAGTACCTTCTGTTAATTTGAAAATTTAAATAAAAAAAGTTATTTTAACCTTCTTACCACTTTGCTTCCGATTAAGGTGATTACTCGCATCCAGTCTAGTATGGTCTTGCATATTGGGATAATCTTGTAGGCGCAACCGAACACTAGAAAGCTATTATACAAATAGTAACGTCTCGGCAATAACAATTATATTTGTGTACATGGTGGTGTTGTTAATGAGCTTATCATCTTTCGTCAGTTTGGCTGGTGTCTAGAGTTACTATGCTGCTTTAGGGTTCATCTGAGCCTAGCAATTTGGATTAGCGTTTTTGAACACAGCGAATAAGTTTATTTCACTAACGTAATCTTTCCCTCGTTTGGCGTGCAGTTAACTGATTACTTCTGACAGATTTCCACACATACAAATCAGCATGATTTAATTGCTGAGAAGCAGTTTTGGCAGTATGCGAGTGCCGGTAGTGTTTTCAAAGTCTGCAGCTATCTGAAAAGTGATGTAACACTTACGCACATGGCAGTTCCGCACAAGTGACATCATCCCTGAGAGAACATGAAATTTTTTAACTAATGTAACCACTTGTGGATAAAAAGTGACATTTTTGCATAGCCTGTCAGAAGCTATCGATAAGCTTTGTGATTTATTGACATAATATAAGTTCCGTTCCTACTCTGATGGTAGATTCCTGATAGCTATAATTTTCTTGATTACGTGCACGATTTCTTCGTAAACATTGGTCAGAACTTTAAAAAACAACTGACAATCTGTATAAACCCTAAATGAGTTTAAAAGGAGCACTACTATTCCTTTAGCCTAAAAATTAGAAAAATTATCTTTACCTATGTTAAAAAATTACCGATTTGGGAAATAGAAAATAAAATAAATAAAATGTCATTTTTTAAGAAAATGCAGGGTAATAAATAAAATGTCATTTTTTAAGAAAGTGCAATTTATTCACTGGATAAAGATATGTTTTGAATAATACAGAATAAGAGAATGAAAAAAGTGAAAAAAGACTGACTGAGTTAAATTTAGCACTTCAAAGAATTTTATATTTATACACTTCAGTATGAGATTCATTAGCTGCTTGAAGAATATAAAGTCTATTCTCGATTTCCCTCCAAAGAGTATTAAGTATTTGCGGAGTCACAGTGGCATGCAGCCTGCGTCGCATTTCTCTGCTGCTGCAAGCCGACTCATATCCCACCAAACTGTCGCGCCGACTGCATGAAGATGGAATACGGTATGTGGTTTGTGTACTTCCTACTTCCGACGGTGTGTGGTTTGTGTTTCTTTGTCCCCATCACATGTCAGAACGCAGTTGAATTGGGCTCTTTGAACATCGCGGTGGACGCCAGAGCAGTGGAGCCATGTACTCTTTATGAATGAGTCTCGATTTAACATCCCGAACGATTCACGAAAGCCAAGGACAGGCTATCGGGCACCAAACATCATCGAAAGAGATCCTTACGGAGAAGGAGGCATACTTGTATGAGCTAGGACAGCAACGAATGGCCGCACGGACTTCTATGTGATTCCTCGTGGTTGCGTTACAGCCATACGATATCGCGTCGAAAATCTACACCCTCTTGTGCGTCCATTTATCGCTGTAATGGGTAACGACGGAATATTTATGGACGATAACGCTCGCCCGCATAAAACTCGAGTGGTGCGTAATTATCTGTTGAGTAAAACGATTCGTAACCTAGGAGAGTAAAACGATTCGTAGGTCTGGTGATCTCCCATAAGGTATGTGTGGGACAGGTTGGGACGACGGATAGCAAGTTGCACCCTCCATGAGCTCAGACATGTATTAACCCAATTTTCCTTGTTCCTTTGTTCCCTGTTATATTTAAAAATGTTTTGTAATCATTATAAAGTTAAAACAAAAATAACCAAGATATTTGATATTTAAGTTGGAGATCATATTTCGAGGACTTACACTAGATAGAACAGCAAAATGCTTACTTTTGTACCTAACTAAAAGTAAAGTATCTATGGAGAAAAAGATTTTTGACGCTAAGAGATAGAGTGACAAGGCTTTCTATGCAGATTATTGTGAAAAGTATTGATCAATATAATATTTTTTTTCAAAATGGCGACCGTATTCACAGAATCGTATAGAATTCGTATTCTATAAAACACTGGCAGGCTTCAGTATTGAAACCTAGCCAAGTCGTCATGTTATCTGCATTAATTTTTAAAAAATATGGAATTTAATTAATTTTTTGGCCGAGCGGTCAAATCGCTGAACGCTGGTAGTTCCGACCTGGGTTCGATTCCAGGTGAACAGGCTCGCTGAATGGGTGTTTTTGTAGATTTTCCCATGTGTAACGTGTATACGACCGAGTTTTCCTTAGAAAGACCTCCACGAAGGCATCCCTTTCCTTACACAAATGGCCCTAGTGTGCGTTTTTATAATCAACTAAAGAAACAAACAAATCTTTTTTTTTTTTTCAAATTCTCGAACTTTATTTTCATCCATCAGTTCTGCATTCTATAGCCCCCCCCCTCGAGTTTCTTTTCTGTTATGGCAGTAACTTTCCCTCTTATTACCCCTTGATCTGCTTCAGTCTTTTCTTGAAATGTCTTTATGGTCCCTTCCGTTACTTCTTGACTCGTTTTCATGGCCTCTTGACTCGCTTTCATCTCTTCTTTAAACGTAGCGAAGGCCGCCACCCGCGGTCTTAATTGCTGCTACATCGCTCTTGTCACCGACAATCAGTCCCTTTTCTGCATTCCATAGCCCAGCGTTTGTTTTCTTTTATGGCAGTAGTTTTTCTTTTTATTACCACTTGACCTGCTTCAGTCTTTTCTTGAACTGTCTTGATTGTACCTCCCATTACGTCTTGACTCGCTTTCATCTCTTCTTTGATCGTAGCGTAGGCCGCCACTATGTGTCTTAATTACTGTCCATCGCGCTTGTCACCGGCATTCAGTCCCATTTCTGACACGAAAAATTGCTGCCACACGAAAAATTGCTGCCTGCCTACGGTTCATAATGGATTGAATACACTGAATACACACGGAACCAATGATAATTTGATAAACAAAAATTTCCCCCAAAAGCACTTTACAGATGTGGAACTTTCCACAGAAGTACTCGTACAGCTCTTCTCAATATGACAGAGCACAATCAGTAGTTACCACTTCAAACTACTAAGAACGTTAAATACAACGCAGCGCAAAGCGTTTCTGAAGAGCGAAGCTCTCCCGGAAATATTTCAGTACTCCGAAGTCGACACTGAACTGAGAACCGATGCTTTCTCCAGTGTTATATAATTTTCGCGAATAGTTTCCTTTCATTTCTCAAAATTACTGGAATGTATATACCAGGGATGGCTAACTGGCGGCACGCGTGTCACAGTGTGGCACAGCAGAGTTTTAACAGTGGCATGCGATGACTTATTGAAAAATTAAAACATTTGAAAAAATAAGAATATCATCTGTGCCAACTCCGTCGATAAGATACAGCGACACTCCAGCTCTGTTCTTCAACTTCAAATACTGCTACATACAGAAGTGAAATGCACAAGAAAATATATCACATGATGAGTTTTCGAATCGTTGATACATGTTCGATGCATGTACCATAATAAACTCCAACGATATAAAACAGAAATTAAACAAATAAAAAAAAGGATGTTCATAGACGCTTGAAAGAGTCGCCAAATCTATGGAACAAAATTTAGTCGCCAAAACCATAGCCATCTTGGCGGTATCTCACCAGTTTAGCGAGATAACCATTTACCTCAATATTAAACAGACTTGCCTCTGTAATCTAATCTTTCCCCAGAGTTTCGCTCTCTTTAAACTTTTCATGTTACATTATACAAAATTCGTAACAGTATTTTCCATAATTACGCGGGCATTATTATTTTAATTAATTACTGTGAAATCTCTCATAACGGCCACCTTTAAATCTGACTTATATTTTTTGAGAACGTTAACTAATATCCTTATGTAACGTTACTTTTCTAAACCTCCACAGCAGACCTAGATCGTCAAGTGGTCGTCTTAGAAAGAGTTTACTGTACTTAGAAAGAGTTTACTTTCATAGTTACTGTAATCTATGAAATGTATTTTGTGTTTATTATATGATATTACTGCAGCTATTTTAGTATTATTTATGAAAATCATTTAACCAGAAAGTATAATTACTGCGTTAAATTACGAAAGTTTTTTTTTAAATTTGAGTACTTTTATTGGTTTTATTGTTGAAAGTTTATATGATTATTGAAAGTGTGTATTTTCATGAAAATACTTAAAACGATGTTTCATTATTATTATTTTTTTTTTTTTCAGCTTACTATTAACAACTGTTCAAAGAAGTCTATGAATGGTTCTGAGAAACTGACTTTGGATCAAATAAAAGTTCTTTCAGACAAAATGCTGATTGAAATGTTTTCAGAGCTCACTAGTGATGAAATAAGAAGGAATTATTCCTTCAAATGCTTTCTCATCCCAGACAAATGTTCTCAGATATTTAAAAGTTTTGGTAATGAAACAAGAGCAAGATGCAAAATGAAAGCGCATTTATTGTCTCATATCCATGATTTGATTTCAGAGGCAAATGGTATGTTTTTATTAGTTTTTATAAATTTATTCTTAAAGTTATAAATGTGTGATATCGGAATATTTTATTTTGTTCTATATATTTGTTAATGATGACTACGCTATATTAATTCTTACTTTAAATAAATGTTATAATATATTATTAAATGCGTTTTGAATTAAAAAAGAAAGTGAAAAAATCGAAAAACGTTTCAAAAAGGATCTAGTATGTGGGCTTTCTTCAAACATAGTAGTGAAGTAAGTTACTTCTGGTGCTGGTGAGAGATGATACCTCAGCCATCTCAAGTAGCTTTGTTAATTTGGTAAAATTATTTTTACATTTTGATTGCATCTGTTAGTCTCGTTTGTTGTCTGATAATTATAACTGCAATTAAACATTAAATACGATTGTGAAATGTAATGCGAATAGCATTTTGAGTTATTTACATAGAAAGTTATATAAGGAGTTAATTTATTCTAACCAATTATTTTTAGTTTTCTTTCCTTTCCCTCCTGATTTCAGTTACCTGCTAGAATGTAAATTTTGTTATCACGTAGTATCCAAATTTAACCAAATATGTTTCAGAAGCAGTATTTAAGCTGCTTGTCAAGAGTTCCCCAAAAAGAGGGTAGCGGACTTAATTCCGAGTTTATGCTGCGTGTTAGAATTTAGCTCTCTAGCCGGTGTTAGACACCCTTCAGTTTATACTGATATTCCTCGGCTTGGCTTTCTGTGTGCAGCCGATTTAGCGTTAAGCTAAGGAGCCAGACATTAGATATCTTAACTTACTAGTGATTTGTTACATTCTTATTTTCTGTTAATTTATGTAGCCACAAGAGGTGGTGATTTGTGAGCCCGAAGTGCGTGCATCTGTTTTAATTTAGTTTAAATAAAAAGGTTATTTAAACCTTTCTTTTGCAGTCTTCATTCTTCAAGACATAGCGATAATTTGCTACTTCGTCTTCGACATAAGAGTCCAAGTTGTATGCTCCCTAAAGGAACATATAAACTCTATGACTGGCGCCCGAACTAAAAAAAAGGTGGTGGATGATGATTCTCTACCACCAGGATTTGGAGACTGGGTCCCCTAACCAACAGTCACTCTTTAAAAGGGGGAGTATGTAAGGTATTTCTCCCGCCTTGTTTGCATGCCTTTGTGGTGTAATGGCCAGCACACTCGGCGCGTATTCGAGAGGTCCGAGGTTCGAGTCACGGCAAGAGTACTGCTCATGTTTCATGTCTCCTGCTTCCAAATAACCGAATATAACCAAATAACCTACAGTTATATAGGAAATCTTCTCTTAACGTGAATTAGGTTTGCGCCTTAATGGTACCATTTTTTTTGTGGTACTAATTAATAAGTAATCGCAATTTTTCTGGGTACAATGCAGAAAATTTTTCTAGACTATATGTAGCGAAAAGTGTTTTAAATCCTGCAGTATTGTTAAATTAGATTTAAAGAAAAATAGCTATTGCATTGAAGAGCGTTATACATACATGGACTTCTGTATTCTTGATATATAACCGAGATTTCGGAAATAAAATATTGAAACACTGCTTTTCCTGAATGATAATTTAGTTTGCGGGATTAATCTATTTTCTTAGTAAGACTATCTTACTAGATTTACGTAAAAGATAAAATTCCCGTTTCTAACAAAAATTTCAATAAAAAACGAGGTGTTCATTCCCATTAGGAAGCAAAATTATTCTTTCTCACATTCTCTGATCTAGTTTCAAATCCGAAACTAAGTTAACTATAAAAGAACTCTAGCTAGTTTTCATTCACTTTGAGCGTGCTAAGGAAATTTTTTATTATCTATGGTTAAATTAAATTTTAATATTATGTATTACTTAATAATAATATAACATATGTATTGTTAAGTATAATGTATTATTTATTTTTTCAATTTCCGTTGATTCATGAATGCACCATTATGCTTATTGTTTACTGAAGTCACGTAACGTGCATTAATTTATGGATAAAAAATCTGCGTTGAACGATTTTTTCCGATGTATTTGAATATGGATATATTGGTATCGGAAAGAAACATTAACGATATTGGTTGTAAATATTCCATCATTTGCAGAGTTGAGTGCAAAAGAAACTTATGCCTGTTTGTCCTTTAATTTTTGAGTTTCCCGTGTAATGAGGCGCAGCCTATATCTCCTGTTACATAGAGTGGCTATGAAATGTCATACCATTCAGTTATCCCATAAAATTTTTTGCGTTGTATGTTGAATGCTAAAAACGCATATTCGGGTATTCCCCACCGAGAAAAATATGGTAGATATCAGGAGAAGACAGTATCTGACTTCAAGTTGCCCTTAAGTAAGAGAAAGCAGTTTGCAAGTTGACGTATAGTGGCCGGTTAAGTGTTGAACAGAAGGTGAATCATTCAATCAATCAAGTTTTGTAAATCTCCTGCAACTTAATGGAACTACGGCGATAACCCGTGATCAACCTCCGTAGGAGGCAAGAGGGCCGGACATTGTCCACAGGATCACTGGAAGAGAGATTCATACCTCTCGCTTGCTACACAGCGGGAGCCTCAATCCCACGCCGCAGACTTTTAAAATGAGCTCTCTGTATGCGCCGGGGCTGAACTGGGACACCGGGCGGTCGCTTCACCTCGAGTCTCAGAGACCACTCCAGGGGAGACACGCAAGTTGTTATGTTTTTTTAAAAAAACGAAAAGTTTGGTGACGATACAAAGATGTTTTCATGCGCGCTTTGGTTTAAGAAGATCTTCTTGCAAGCAGCCCGTTCACAAATTTTGTCAGCAATTAGAAACCACTGGCTCTCCCTTTACACACTCAGTGGTTCATACAAAACGAAGCCCGCCCATACACTGTAACTGTTGTTCATGATTTCCTGTATAAGATGTTTAATATCCGTGTCATGTCACATCGGTTTCTTGAACATTACGAAGATTAGGAGGCATTCCCTTCCCCTCATAGTTCGGTTTTAATTCATGAGAGTTCTTTTTATGAGACATTTTTAAGGATATAATTTTCACAAGCACCTCTGCAGCTGAAGGCTATTCCCGTGCAGCTGTGCCGTGGAGTTTCAGAAGACGTGTGTTGGAGGCTTGTGATAAATGCAAAGGTTCGCTTGAAAGAGGTTGTAAACCAAAATGGTGAAGGCATTAAACACTCAACTCACCTTCCACCTTCATACAGTTAACTGTGAATTCGTGTTGTAATATCTGAATGATAAACAAATGTGCTATAAGATTCTAGCTAAATTAAAGTTACTTGAAGCTAGAACTTACTAGAACGGTGAAGCGACTATTCGCTCTGTTGTATCAATAACAACTCATGAAAAAACTTAAAAAGACCCTTTTATTCACTCAACGGTTAACAGAAGGCACTTCTTGTGCTTGCAAATACCTCATCCACACTTTTGACGATAACTCAAAAATAGAACGTAAAATTAAAACTAAATCTAAATTGAATAATCAGTCGAAGCTGCACAGAGCTATTTAACGCATAGCTAATATCACCGACGTGTATTAACAGGCAATTAATATACACGGCCGTAAAATAGCAAGCTTTCACTAGGAGCGAAACAACGTGGACGAATGGCAGAATACGCTGTCAACACCCTCTTTACACGCTGTATCTGAAGTAACTCATACCTCAGCTTAAATAGTAGTTTGTACCCTAATTTGCATAATGCGCGAAACTGAAATTTCATTATGGCAAGGAAGCGGGGGTTGGAAAGAGGGAGTTTAACAGAAAGGCTGTTTTTAAAATAAAGTTAACTGTTAGGGAAATAAAATTAAACGCCACAGTGCAATGAACAAAAAGGGTATAATATGACAAAAATCCAACCTTAGGGGTTTGTTGGCTGTAAATCATGACCAACCTAAGTTTAGACCTCTATTATTATTGTTATTACTATTTCATTTTAATCGTCTGTAATATTTAAGAATAGTTACCACAGTAGCATATTTCTGTTTTCTGAGAATAAGCAAATTGAACTCTCCAATTGGTGATACTTGGATATTACTCAGAAGTATGATTTGTAATCATAAAAATGCTCCATTTTTTAATTTCACTTGATAGTTAAAATGTGTCGTTGTAAGTTTAAAATATTTATAAAACATCAGTCTATAAAAGAGATATATGCAACTACTAGTTTTAATACAGAACTTAAAGCTGAATTCCTCGAACCAGAATAACGTTTCTGTGTTGATTTGAAAGGGTATATTTCCCATTTTTACTGTTTTCACTTAAAATCACTTATATGTACAAGAAAAAGGTTTTGATACATTCGTTTGTCTAGTGAAATTACCTTTATGTAGTATGTGCCTCTTTTCAACTTAGCCCTTCTATTTGAAGCTTGACTTAAATAAAAAAAAAATTATGTTGGTTCTACAGACCTGAATGCAGTAACAATCTTAATGCAGTATTTTTAATTTTACACCTTTCAAGTGAGAATAATTTATTCTAAGTCTGTTGTTCCATTTATTACTCAACGTAATTTACCCTGATTGCGAGTTTATCTCTCTCTCTAAAAGTAGTATATCCTTCTGTACTAGTAGTTTATGCTATCGTGCCTACTCCTGCTAAAAACATTTTAAAGTAAGATTTCTGTGTTATTTTTATCAAATGGCTCAAGAATATTCGTTCGGCTGTGCTTCATCTAGTCATGGTCTAAATTTGCAGTTATATATGATTTTCTTCTTTTTAAACAGTACTAATACAACTGTAGTTAATTGTTGTTTATGATATAAGTTAATGTACTGTCCAGAATATATACGATAAAATATTTTGAACAATTATTTACTTGCAGCCATAATTAAATATACAATTTAAAATAATCAATATGCCACAGCAACTTTTATCTTAGCTTGTATATAATGACTCTACAGAAATTAAAGTCATTTTTACCAGTTATTATAATGATTTTTAATAAAAAGAAATGTAATGCTTGATTATTATGGAATATGTTTAGGCAATTTATTTTGAAATCAAAGAAATAGGGTATTATTATTTTAAAGAAATTGTGTCCTTTC